TACTGGCTTTATTATTACTTGTTGCAGATTATTAATTACCAGGAATTACGAGCGTGATGCACAGTACTGGACGAAGGTTGGTGATGGTGGTGGTAGTCGTGGAGAAGGAGGAAATAAAGGTGAGGGTAGTGGTTCTGGTGGGCCGAGGGTTGCTATTGCTATTGCTGTTGCTATTGCTGTTGCTGTTGCCGTTCTTGGCTGGTAGATATTATGAAAAGAAAAGAGGTTCCTCCCCAGGTTTGTGCTTTCAATTAATTTTCCTGAATTAAGAGACGATTGTATAAGAAGGAATTAAAGCTTCTCTCTGAGTAGGTACGTGAACTTTGCAAATCGATAATATCGTCCTACAGCTTACAAAATAACGTATATCAATTCCTTTTTCTTCTACATAGATATATATATATATATATATCTATTTATATATCTATTTCCCTTAATAGAACGAACAACAAAATTATATAAGATTTTTTTTTTATATCTATCGAAAACAGCAATATTAACAGTAACAAAAGAGAGAAAATCTTTTTCTTCGTCACCAACGGGGAACATTTTAAATGTCGATTGAAAATGCGTTGTTAAGACACATAAGTACATACGTTATTATATTTCGTCTATATCTACGATTAGAAACGATGAATAAAAGAAGAGAAGAAAGAGAAAAAGAGAAAGGTGGTTTAGGCTAGATGCAGCTAGCGTAGGTAGTCGCTACTATAAAGTCTACCACGTATCTATATCAAAAGCAAAGCCAACAATGGGGTCATACAAGCCCTTATAATATCGTAGCGGTTCTCAGAGGAGAAAAAAGAGAGAGAGAAGGCCAGCTGCCATAACCGATACAATTGTTAAACGTGTACACTAGCAAAAAAAACAGAGAGAGAGAGAGAGAGAGAAAGAGAGAGTATCCAAAAGAATAAAAACATGAGTAGATAATTTTACTCGTATTTGAATAACAATGACTTCAATAAAATTATCTTATTTTCATACAAATAATCTAACGAATGTTTTGATTTAATCAAACAAAGAAAATTCGAATTATTTCTTTGTAAAAGAAATAGAACGAGGCTCGTCGAAATCGTGAAAAAAATAGCCCCGTTGGAAAGGAGAGGGTAAAAACGCGAGAAATATTCAAATCGTGCTTAATTCGTATGATTTATGAAGGTAAAAAATGAGTACACATGTACACACGTACACATGACAGAAGAATAGGATGGATGTTAGACGAGCCGTGTTCCTCATACGCACGCATCGATGCATCGAGACTATGCACCAACGAAGAACGTTGAAATAACGAACGGTGGAAATAAATATTAATAAAGAGCTCTCTCTTTCTCTCTCTCTCTCTCTCTCTCTTTCTCTCTCTCTCTCTCTCTCTCTCTCTCTCTCTCTCTCTCTTTCTTTTTCTTTTTCTTTTTATCTCTTGTTTTCTTAGTCTACCTATCTATCTCTATCTGTCTTTCTTTTTCTGCTTAACTCACATAATCTTGTTTCATTACTTCTCTGTCTCTCTCTCTCTCTCTCTTTATCTCTCATTCTCTCTTTTGCGTACTCTACGTGCCGGTGCATTGTTCAGGCCATTACGAGAGCCAATTAATCTATGCACAATTTTATAATTAAACGGCTAATAGTGCATAGAATTATAGTCCAGGGACGCTCAAGTGCTCCCACGTACGGCGCTACGGTGTTTTCTGACGTTACGATGGGAAGAAGACACACATAAACGAATATATATATATATATATATATATATTTTTTATATATTATACGAAGTCACGGAAAAAAAGGAAAAGAATCAAACAGCAAAAGCTAAGCGTTTCTTCTTCTCTCATTTTTGTGTTCAACTATTCTTTTATTTTATCATTATCAAATAACTTTGATTTACTATTTTTATTAATGACTCGTATCTGTCAATCGATTAATGATACAAAAAAAAATGTTAATGATATGAAAGTTGTAATAACGATTTAATGGTGAACGTTAAGGATGAGGTCAATAAAAATAATCTTTGTTCGATATGTGCGAAGGCGGAATTGTAAGGCATTGATTGTTAAAACGATCCTCATTTTAAAATGATCTCATCTCGATGAAGATTCTCTTTCTTTCTCTCTTTAACTCTGTACCTATTGCGATCGCGATAGTCACGATGATCGATAAGGAAATAATAATGCGGGCCCTCTTTGTACGCGGCTAACGAGTCGAGTCAATTATATTAATTAATTTGCCTAACTCGGCCGAAGCAACGATTATATACTAGCTGGTTATATTATCCCATTGGATGGCAGTGAACGTTCGTGCGCAACGAGCCCTCTCGTCTTTAATTAGTTGTCTACTAAAAGAAAAAAGAACAAGTAAATAAAATAAAAAGATGATGATCCAGAGAGAATAAAAGAAAAAAAGGAAAGAAAAACATGATCGATCGAAAACATTAAAACGTGGAAGAGTAAGATAGATGGATATTAACAAATAAATCGATTCATTTACTTTTCTTATATCGATCGAAACGAAAATCGGTCAACAAAACGATCTACACAGACGATTAAATTTGATCTTTTAATCTGATCAAAAGTAACTTCTCCAAGTGACTTTTCATACTACTAGTATTATTTAATACTACATAATAGATAAATCAGATAGAAAATTAATGTAGGACTATTGTTCCTGATGGAAAAGCTACGATACTAATCCAAGTTATCGGAGAATGAAAGAAGAATCTACGACGAAGAACGTAAACGTCCTTCCGAGAGGAAAGAATTTTAAAGAACTTCCGTCGTCCAAAGTGTTTTAATTTCTAATAGGTGAATGTATTTAAAGAAAACATGATTAAAATCCTGAACATCGATTCTATATCATTGGCGAATCCGAACGAACGAACGAACGAACGAACGAACGAAGCATCGCACCTGGCGCCGTGCTGCTCCGGCAAACCGCAAGAAAAAAGCTCTTGAATTATCGATGCGGTTCTCGATGCATGCTGTTGCATCGATGCTGCTGCTGTTGGTGGTGATGGTGTTAGTAGTGGTAGTTGTGATGCTGCAGCAGACTGCAGCTCGTAGAAGTATTGCGACTACGATGGTCGTAGTCGATCGAGAACATGTACATGTATATGCACATACATGTTCGATGTTTGGCTGTAAATGCAAGAGATCTGTGTTTCCCTGTAGTCGTTGTTGCCGTTACTGGCATGATCGTGCATTATCAGAGTGTAACGATGCCAATGGTACACGCGATCGGACCACACACAAGCTCTCTACCGTGACCTCTTAATCATCTCATTTTTTCTTTAAACTTTCGACTCTTTCTATCTTTGATAATGTCCAATATACCTAGCTAATTTAAAGTTTCCCTTATAGAACATACAACAACAGTGATAAGAGAACGAGAAAAGACTATGGGATAATAAATATTAGATAAGAGTTTTTTAATTAATAATAAACGAACTGGAAAAATCAATTTCATTGACTTTCACAGTTCATTCACCGTCCGCTTCCACATTCAGAAACATAATCGATGTTAATTCATTTCTACGATTTTGTTTTCCACATTTCTGTTCTAACGAGAGTAATCTTTTAAATTATGTTTAACAATAAAAGTGACACGAGAGGATGCTTTTTTGTGAATATTATTTTGAATATTTGAATAATTCTGAACAACATAGAATGATAGAAACTGAATTTCGACGATCCGTAAGAAAATAATAAGACCCGCACGAGCCGACGGCTCGCAGAGTTCTGTTCTCTTCTGTGACTGCGACTGGGATTATTTGGATCCCTATCCCTACGGCTTTCTCCCTCTTTCTCCCTTTCTCTTTCTCTCCTTGACTCTCCCTCGATCCTCTTTCTCCCTTCTCTGTGTCGCGTTGAATCCGTTTCCGTTGTGACTGCTATGGTTAGCTTTTCACAGGACAAATGTTGTCCGAGATACTTGCTTCGATTTATTTCAAAATTGATGCATCATCCATCAACAAATTGAAAAGAAATACGAAAAAAAAAGATGGTAAAAGCGTAGAAAATTTGTAGATTCGATTTAAGTACGAGAATAAGAATTTAATCGATAGAGAAGTCGACTAAGAAACGAAGATGAAACTGACAACATTTTCTCTGGGAGTAGTTGGGATCCCCTCGTTCCGTTTACCATTCCGTTTCGTCTGTCGTCTGTAGCGTAGGTGGGGTAAGCTTGTAGTACACCACCTCTCATTCTCTGTATCTCTCTCTCTGTTCCTTCCTCTCTCTCTCTCTCTCTCTCTCTCTCACTCTCACTCTCTCTCTCTCAGTGGGGACGATTCATTCAGAGAAACTGCCGTGAAAGGGACACCTGTTGGCACGAAACTCAATGTGACAATCCTAGAAACACGAGCACGTGCCACGAGGCTCGTGTTAACAACGCTTTAGCTTTATATTGAACTTAACTCGATCTGTTAAATATGTTTCCTTATTTATTTGACACTAAAATTCGTAAGAATATTCATCATTGGAAATTTTGAAAGAATACTATCGTGAGAATGCATCGATATGTTCGGAAGATGTTGACTGCCGGCAGGCAACAAGTCTAAACGATGATTAAGTCTTAAGAAACGGTAGGTGGTAGACAATTAAAGTACTTTTAGGCCGAGCAGTAGCGCCGAAAGGCGGATGGGTGAAGATAAAGTGTTGCCCAGGGGCGACACCATCCGTTATTAATGTATGCGAGGATCGTAGCTTCCGCGAGTAAGACCTTCGCGCGATCAATCCAACCTATACCTAAAAGCTTGACTTATCTCTTGGATTTATCGAGCTGACCAGTCGGTCAATTTTAAATGGATTTTGAGAGACGAATTGACAAGTATGTAAATATATTTCCCATAGAAATAACTTTGTCCGTTGAGGCGTGAAAGAAATTAGCACGAGTTTGGTTATCTGCAAGTTAGATGATCTTCAAACTGGTTCCTTCGATTACGTTGATCTCACGCTCGATCTATCAATCTTCGTAGAATGTGGAATAGCTTGATTAATTATCGCTTAACCTACCTGGCCGTTGTGCAGTCCCTGTAGAGAATGTCGAAGTCCTTGCAGCTGAGAAGTTTACAACGATTGACGCCCGGTTGAATGGCTCCGAGACCGCGTAGGATTCTAACCTGCTCGACGTTGCATACCAACGGCACGATATCTAGTCTCTTTAGCTTAGTATAGACGGTATGTAAACCACCCACGAGATGTTTCAGGAAGAGCTCAAAGGCCTGAGGCAAGCAGAGCATGGTATCACCGGCAATGATAAAAGCAGCGACCTTCTGGCCACGATAATCGACGAGTTTACATTCGTTCGCGGTTGGATCACTAGTACTGATCGGTGGTGGACTGTTATACGATCTGGGTGGTAATACAGCGTGATGAGCAGCCATCAATTCCAAAGGTGATCCATGATGACCGCTTAACATCCCACCTAGCTGGCCCAACAGACCCAGTCCCGGTGGCGGTAGTCCTGGCATTCGTGGTACCATTCCTGGAGGTGCACCGGGTCCTCCCCCGGCCGACAGAGGCGGTGGACTCAGGGGAAGACCCTGTGGTGGTGATCCTCTCGTCGGTGAGCCTGGTGTCGGTACACCACGATGTTGTTGCTGCTGCTGTTGTTGCTGTTGATGTTCGCGTAACTGATCTCGTGGATGGGATTGTTGTAAAGAGGATTGATGCTGGGAGCCGTGCAACTGCTGTTGCTGTTGACTCTGTTGCGCTGATGGACTATGAGGATGCTTTGGACTGCCGGTTACGGGACTGGCACGACTGCTGTGTTCGGAAGAGCTGTCCATCGCTCCGTGGTCCATCGGTGGCTAAATTTTCTCTCTGGTTTACTTTGATTTATCTCTTCTACTTGTTCTCTCTCCAGCACTTTCCTCTCTCTCGTCGTTTTAATAGTAGCAGACTGTATCGTCTAAGCCACAACAACGAATAACTATGTTCGCGAAGATATACCTACATATATGTATCACAATATGAAAAAAAAAAACACGCGGACTTAAGATCACCGGGTCGTTGTAAAATATATCTACAATGTCGACCGTCCCAATGAAAGCTTATCACTGTCACTTGAGAAATCCTTGTCCCGTACGATTGCAAGAGAAAGTACGAGGTTCACCATACGCGAGAACACGACAAGTCTTGCTCATATCTTTTCGCCGAGTCTTGATGTTTGCACTTAGACGAATGAACGAATCGGCGTCCATTTGTCGTCCATCGCAAGCATCCTTAGCTCAAACGAAGACGTCCAAGCGACGTCCAGAGGACGACAACAACGAACACGACGACGACGACGACGACAACGACGACGACGACGACAACGACGACAAGGAGTTAAACGATGCCGATTACGTTTCAGGCGCGACAATCACAGACAATCCGACAATCACACTAGATCGAAAAAGAGAAAAATAACGCGAACGCGAACTCGACGAAGAGGATTGCCAACGCCGACGACGGCGACGGCGACGACGACGACGGCGACGACGACGACGACGACGGCGACGACGACGACGACGACGACTACGGTAACTCGCGCAGGGACGCGCGTCGCTCGTTCTCAAAGTGGCAAACGCTCTCTCGGTCGAGTCCGGAGTATTTCCCTACCCAGTCACAGATGTAATAAATAAAAACATCAGTAGGAGCAGTACGAACGGGGAGGATGGGCGTTCTCTGCGCGTAACAGGCAATCCGGTTGGCGGAGCCAGCAGACGAACGAGCTTTACCATTGGCTTTTGGGTAGGGAGTGTCGACGCCTTCGGAACCTTCCCTCGGTTGGTGGCGGGTCTACCAGCGCTCTGGTAGCCCTCTCTCTTTATCTTCCCCACTACTAGGCAACGACGCGGCAGAGACCACCACCACCACCACCGCCACCGCCGCCGCCACCACCACTAGCATCAGCACGACGGAACGCGCTTCGGTTCTTCGAGCCACGACTAACAGCGAGAACAGACGAGGAGGACTGACTAGAAGAGAGCGCGACGGCGCTTCTCTCGGCGCTTCCCGGGAGCCAGTAACACGCGCGCGCAGATACACGATTCTATGCGAAAGACAGGGAGAGAAAGTGAGAGAAAGAGACCGAGGACAGTACGACTCGACGAGAGAACGTACCGGCAGCGCTGACGGTTCTACGAGTGGGGATTTCTTCTTTTTCCTCGCGACTTCTACCCCTCCTCCTCTGCCAGCCTCTCACGGAGGTATACGTTCAGATCCTCCGGCCCGCCCTCCTTCCAACGATCTCTCTAACATTCCCTCCGTCTCTTTCTACCGCGAGACGGCCCTCTTTACCGCGTTTCCTCCACCTCCCAGGGACTATGCCCTCTTCTTCCTCCTGCCACCCTCCTCATGCTACTCTAAAGAATGTCGCCGGCTACGTTCGAATCGATCGTTCGCTCTCTCGCGGTACTCCTCCCACCCACCTCCACCATATTCGCCATCAGCATTACACGCGCGCACTTATTTCTTCCGTAGGTAACTCCGCTTCCTCGCGATCTTTCTCTCCCTTCCTGCACATCTTAGTCGTCTTTTGCTCACGAACCTCTCGCTCTCTCACCTCCCCTCTTCAATATCCTTCCATCTCTATCTCAGTCTCTCTTGCGAGCTCATCTGACCCCTACCAAACTTCCACCGGCACTTTCCCACCCTCAATCCCAACCACCACTACCACCACCAACACCACCACCACACCAGTATCAACGTTCTTGTCGTTGTCGGGGTATGGGTGCTTAATATCTTTGTACCATAGCCAAGGCGTACATATCCACCGACTGTTCTCCCGGAGGTGAACTTTTCGTGCGAGTGTGTTTTGCGAGTAAGGAGGAAAAAAAGAAAGAAAGAAAGGAAAGAAAAGAGGGAACAAAAAAGAGTATGAAAGAAACGTGAGAGAACTTGATTCTCCCTCTTTTTCATACTTCTCTTTCTTTCTTCCTTCTCGTGAACCAATCGGCCGACGTTGATAGGTTGGTGCCAAGTAATGATCAAGTAGTAGGCGTACTCCTAGTTAGATATATCGATGCCTTCCGTGTTTTACCCATTACATTTGGAATTTTCAAATGGTTGCATCGATTTTCTTCCCCCCAAAACAAAATTAAGAACAATATTCTTACGTGAAATTTAATAACATGAAACTTTCTCCATTATATCAATGTTTTTTCCAATAGAATTTTTCATAATTCACGAGAGAAAATAAATTATTTGTTTACATTAAAAATTAAGAATATATTATGAAAAGAAATTAAAATAAATATTAAATAAATGATCATTTTCTATATGGTTTTAGATGAAACATTTTGAAAGTCGAAATAACTTATGAGAAATCCGATGGATGAAAACGAGTGCGTTCGGCAGGCAGGAAAGAGGGAGGAGAGGCAGAGAAAACCCTGGTCCGATTATCTTGTCATAGATGTTTCAAGAGTCGATGGGAGGGAAAGGAAGAGGGCAACGTACTACTAGCCTCCACCTCCACCATCACCTCCTCCTCTCTTTTGGTCGGTCATCCCCTCATCGGCCCGGTGACCTAAATCTACCGATGAAGGAGAGACTCCTCTCCACGCCTTCGTTATATTCGTGTAGGTGTTTATTTGTGTTTGAAAGTGTGTGTGTGTGTGTGTGTATGTATGTGTATATGCATTTGTGTGTATAAGAGGAAGACAGAGTATACATATATTCCGTAAGTTCGCGCATACGTTCGCCGACCGCAGCTGATCCCTTGACCTCGTCCAACCCCGAACGAAACGGGAGACCCCGATGGGCCTAACGTTCATTGACCGTTGGCGCTCAACCGAAAAGGGCTACTCGCGATTCGGCTAGCACAAGGAGAAGGAGGAGGACGCTACACGTTTCTTTTCCAAAATCCCTACTTGCTTTTTCACGCGCATCATTAGACCTCCTCCAGGAGGGGCTAAATTATCCGCTAAATATTCGCTCTGGTATACTTTAGGATATTCCTTTTTTTTTCCTCCTTCACAAGACCCTTTATCTTTAACCATGGTAATACCCAGGTATAGAGCTTTTATCGTGGACACGAAACAAAAGATAATTTTTGTTTATAATAATATTATTCTATTACTCAATATATAATGTACATACTTTTGAATTCATCTGTTGTATAAAATAATAAAAAATTGATCTCAATCTTAGCACATATGATAATTGTGTATGATAATCTCTCCCTCTCTCTCTCTCTCTCTCTCTCTCTCTCTCTTTTATATAAAAATAAAATAGAAATATATTATTATTCCTATATTCTATATTGTAATCTGAAGGTAGACAAAAAATCGAAGATGAAGAAATTGAAATAAATGCATAAACTCGTGCTCTCCAAAAGAGAAACTCGTTCGCTTAGGTTTATTCGCTGAGTCGTTCGGTCATCCGAGATAACGCGAGAATCGTTCTTTGTCTCCTGAAAGCGATCGATCATGAGATCGGTGTCCGCCGTCGAACTAGAAGGCGGCCCTCGATCGGTAGGGGGACCGATGTTTGCCTCGACCCAAACCACGTCCAATTAGTGGAATTAATACCGGCTAGGCTTTGGGGGAGCTAATGCCCCTGTGTGCATACCTACGGGTATGCACGCCGATGACTGCACTTTCCTTCGTGCGTAATGAAGGACAAACGCGCCGACGCTCGCACCACTTCGATGCGTTCGCGAGTAAACCCGATCGGTTACTGCGCGCTCTTCTCTTATACGCGGTACGACCTTAAATTCCGCGACTCTGCGGTGTTATGTCCGCACACGACACTCTTCTCTTCCACTATCTCATTCCATCTCTCTCTAGCAATCTCTCTCTTACAAGACCGACCCGTTTGGAAACTCGTGCGCTTAATTACGTTTCGATGCCACAACTTCTCCGTAGACTTGTTCGTTCTACTGTTAATAATAATAATAATAATAATAATAATAATAATAATAATCATCATCATCATCATCATCATCATCATCATTGTGACGATGACAGAAAATAATAATAATAATAATAGCGATGACGATAATAATAATAACAATGATAAAGTAAGCTGGCCACTAATAGGGCTTGCGATGATCCCGACAACAACTTATGCATCTGTTCTTCACTTTTCTTTTGTTTTATTCCTTAACGTGCAATTTTGGTGTTACACTCACATATATATATATACATATAATATATTTATTCATTAAAATAGAATAATTAAAAGTATATTGTAAATTACTTTTGATATGTACCGTCTTGAAAGCATATCTTTTATTCAAAAATGTTTATCTCATCTTCTTCGATCCTTCTACCAAACGTTCCAACTTCATGAGTATGCGCGTTGTTTCTCTGCCTCACTCACTCACTCTCTCTTTCTCTCTCACTCTCTTTCTCTCTCTCTTTCCCTCACTGTCTCTCCTCTCTCTCTCTCGTTTTACACGAGCTGCAGCACATTTTCAGGCAGACTGCCGTGTGATACGCATTGTTCGACCTGAACACCATATTCTCCTCTCTCACTCTCTCACTCTCACTCACTCTCTCTCTCTCTCTCTCTCTCTCTCTCTCTCTCTCTCTCTCTCTATCTCTCTCCTTTGGTGGACTCTCTCGTTTGGCCAACGCGTGCACGCACGACGTGTGTATATGCATCGTGCATAGACGTTGTTGCGTAACCCTCGTCATTGTTTGTGCCTCGCGTCGTTGTTACACGCCGGCACGCGGAAAGCCGAGGGTAGATTTTAGCCTCTGACGGGAGATGTAAAAGAGTGCGCCAATTTTTGTTCACCTAACACCGCGAACCGACGTGTGCCAACGTTGAATTCGTTCTACTGGAAAGTCTCTCTTTCACCTCTCTTACGATCTAGTACAAAGTACATCTTTACCTACCCCTAATTCTTCCTTCTCATTACCTCCTAAAAAACTTACGAAATTTTTCATATATTTCATTATTTACTTCTCCTGTTTTCCTGTCTATTTAATATGAACTAATAATCTAACGTTATAAGAATATCTCATAGATTATTATTACGTACATAAATATATAAATTCAATCATATCAAATCCTAGATATATTAAATAGATACGCATACAAAATAATTTGTACAAGGACCCTATTAATTATTTACGTACATTTCATGGATCGGTCTATGCATATGAAATAGAATAAATTAGACATCTTTCCCTTATATCCCTGGATCGTCGTCATTTTGAAAGTCCTTACCAAGGTAGAGGCCGCAGAATCCACCATACGAGCTTACCGCGACCGCAGATGTGCGAGTAAGCGGTTAACCCTTAGCGGTCGACCATTTGGTATTTGCGGCATTGGTAGTTTTCAGTTTCAATTGCACGTCCTAATCTTAACACGAAATAAACTATAATACGTATCGTTTTCAACCATATAAGGTCTGCAGTTAACAAATGTATCTAATCTACGTTATACCCATATTTTTAAAAATACTCGTATAAAAAGAATATCAAAGAAAAATATAGAAATAATACCAATCTGTGGTAGATAGAGATGTCGAAGAGACGAAAAGTGCGAACATGCGATTAAACGTATGTCCAACAAGCGGATATTCGTAAAAGCTTGCAAGAGCGAGCATACTCGCTCGAATTTGTTCGAAGAGCGAGCACGGACAACGGGAGCGAGGTATGCAAACGAGTCGGATACAACAGACAAAGTGAGAGAGGGAGAGAGAGAGAGAGAGAGAGAGAGAGAGAGAGAGAGAGAGAGAGAGAGAGAGAGAGAGAGAGAAGCACGTTTACATTTTCCAGATTGAAATGTTAACCCACTAGGAAGGTGGCCGACGTGCGTGCGCATTATGGCTTATAACCCGATAAAGCCGTGCTTGTGTATGCATCCCACCCTTGCAGGCAGCATCCCTGTCGGACGACTCTCTCTCTCTCTCTCTCTCTCTATATATATATAT